ATGTGTTACTTAGTTCAATGTAAGCATTTCACATTGTATATCAAAGCAGTACCCTGAACCCCATAAATGCATCAATGTACAAAGTTATGATTTAATAAAAAAATAATTTAAAAAAATAGATAGGCAGTGGACTGCCAAGCATCTCCTCTGTGCCAGGCACAGTACTGGGTATCTTCAATTATTGTCACACTGCAGGCTCCCAGCAACCCTGGGAGGTAGGTACATTTGAGTCCATTTATAGATGCAGAAACTGAGGACTGGGAAAGGAGATGACTTGCCCAGTGGAGGTGGTGGGATTTGTGGTCCATGGCAGAGAGCTGTCAGGGAGCATGGGTGCAGCTGTGAATGTGGCTGGGTCTGCAAGTTTCTGTGCCAGGCACACAGTGGATGTAAGGACATGCCTGTCAGCTGTGATGCCCAGGGACCCCTTTCCTAGCCACAGCTCTGCCCTGTTCATGTAGTCAGACAGTCCAGATCTAGGGTCAGTTTTAGGAGTGGCTGGCTCCAGAGTCTTTATGTCACTTGTCTTGGCTCCACTTCTCCCCACCCCCGTATGGGCATCATCTTCAAGCTCCCTCCCACTGGTCAGCAAGATGGTGCCATAGGAATACTTTCAACCCTCACAGCGTTTCAGAACAAGTCTCAGGGCTTCCTTTCATTGGACAGGTTTTGGTCATGTGTCCTTACTGGAACCAATGATGTAGTGAGAGAATGCTGTGCCCTAACTGGTTGAGGCCTGGGCCACAGGCTCTGCCCCTCTGATGTTCATGTCCTGCTTGCCCTTTGCTGGCACCAGAAACAGAGAAGCAGCCAGCCCACCCCCACTGCCCTCATGGGGCTCCCAGACTAATGGGGGAGTATAGGAGAAAATCCAGGTAGACCTGACCCAGTGAGCAACCATGTGCCAGCCCTGGTCTATCTCTGGGCCTTAGTCTTCTCTCTTATACAAAGAACACAATATTTTCTGGACTAAATGGGACAGTGGGTGTGAAGAATTATGGGAACTGGTGCTGCAAGATTACAGGTATTGGCCGGGCACAGTGGATTAATCCCAGCACTCTGAGAGGCTGAGACAGGTGGATTACTTGAGCTCATGAGTTCAAGACTAGCCTGAGCAAAAGCTAGACCCTGTCTCTACTAAAAATAGAAAACTGAGGCAAGAGGATCGCTTGAGCCCGAGTTTGAGGTTGCTGTGAGCTATGATACCACGACACTCTACCCAGGGTGACAGCTTGAGATTCTGTCTTTAAAAAAAAGAGAGAGATTATAGATATCATTTCTTTTTTTTTTTTTTTTTTTTGAGACAGAGCCTCAAGCTGTCCCCCTGGGCAGAGTGCCGTGGCATTACAGCTCACAGCAACCTCCAACTCCTGAGCTCAAGCGAGTCTCCTGCCTCCGCCTCCCAAGTAGCTGGGACCACAGGCGCCCGCCACAATGCCCGGCAATTTTTTGGTTGCAGCCGTCATTGTTGTTTGGCAGGTCTGGGCTGGGGATTTGAACCCGCCACCTTAGGTGTATGTGGCTGGCGCCTTAGCCGGTTGAGCTATGGGCTCCGAGCCTATAGATATCATTTCTGTGTTGACTGGGCCTCCCTTGGTAAGAATTTACCCTGAGGAAATTCTTCAGCTGAAGAAAATGCTGTATGCACAGCAGGTACATGCTGGTCACAGTGCTGCTTGTGATCCACACTCATGGGGCTCTAGAGTCCCAAGACACCTCTCTGTCTCAGTTTCCTAATCTGTAGAACAGGGGTGATGTTAATACCTACCTCATATGATTGTCAGTGATGTTATGTATAATCAGACTGATGTGTCTGGCACAAAGTAGGTGCTGAATAGGTGGGAGCCATGACCAGCTATGGTCACCCCTAGGCAACAGTGTTCATGAAATGCTATTCCCTTTTTCATTTATTTACTAGATATTTTCTGAAGGCCTACTATGCACCACATTCCGTGTAGATGTGGGGGAGTCAGGGGTGTACAAACACTAGATTTCTGCCCATAGGGGTTGATGGGGGAGTCAGATGATACTCAAGAAAACAGACAAGGAAGACCCAGCACTTCAGGAGGCCAAGGCAGGAGGATCACCTGAGGCCACTGGAGGTTATAATGAGCTACAATCATCCACTGTGCTCCAGCCTGAGAAAGACTCTGTCTCTAAAAAAAAAAAAAGAAGAAAAAGAAAAAAAAAAGGACGAGACAAGGAAATGGAAGAGTGTACCAACAGGACTGAGGGCTATAGCGGGAGAGTCTCTGGGGAGGCCTCACTGAGAGTGATGAGGGGCTGTGCAGGGGCGTGAGAGCAGCAACTTCCAAGTAGACTGGCAGGTGCAAATCCCCAGAGGTGGGAGTGTGCCTGGGTGTAGAGGGAATAGCGAGGAGGGCCCGCAACACAAGGTGGAGAGAAGAGGAGGGGATGAGACTGGCCAGGACTGGGCCCAAGTCGGGTGGGAGAGTGACCTAATGTAGATTTTCAAAGGACCCATTGGTGGCTGCATTGAAACACCAAGGCGGGTGAGGGTATCACCAAGGAGGTCAGGGACCCAAGGAGACCAGTGGCTAGTAGTGGCTATGGGGGTGGGAAGAGGAGCCTCTTGGCAGGCAGAGCCAACACACTCCCACACCCTGGGGGCCGCATGCCAGTCTCCAAGACCAGATACCTGGAGTCACTGAGGCTCATGGGTTTGTGCTTTGGGGGTTCAAAGGGGTCCAGTCCCTCCATCTTCTGAGGCTCCTAGTATCCTGGGGGAAGAGGCAGTCATGCTGGTGACCCACTTTTGTTCTTGTTCCTCTCTCCTCCTCCCTCCTGGTGCTCCAGAAGATAAAGGTACTTGTGTGTGTGTATTTTCTCATGCACATGTATGTACATGTGCGTGCATGCTCCTGTGGGTGCAAAGACGGACAGGAAGAGGCATCCAAAGACCTGCTCTGACCAGGACGCAGCTGTGGGCTCGTGGTCAGAGGCTGTCATGTGAGGACAGGGACTGTGGGGGCCAGAGCACTGGGAGGGGAGAAGCACAGGGTTTGCTGTGTAGGAGTTGGGCAGCATGGGTTGGAGGGCTTTAGGGGGCACAGAGGAGACCTTAGATTTTATAGGGAACCCACCTCCAGTCACCCCTCACAAAGGGGGTTCCTTGAGGAAGGCTGAGTCTGGGTGCCCCCAGCCATGTCTTCTATCCAGCCCTTCAATTCCCACATCCCCATATGGGGTACAGATCCTGGAGGCGACACCTCTCTTGGAGTCCTTCGGCAATGCCAAAACCGTCAGGAATGACAACTCCAGCCGCTTCGGGAAGTTCATGGAGATCTTTCTGGAAGGGTGAGTGGGACAGGGGATGGGGCTTCCAAAGTCCTCATTGCGTCTACCTTGCCCCACTGCAGCCTCTCAAGGCCAACACCCCCATCTGTGAACTGATTGTGTCTCCCACCCAGGGGCGTGATCTCTGGTGCCATAACCTCCCAGTACCTGCTCGAGAAATCCAGAATTGTGTTTCAGGTGGGTCTGTCTTGCCCCCCACCCGAGGCCTGCATGTTAGGGTAAGGTTGGGGCGGTACAGACATTCAGAGCCTGGTGCCTGATAGGGTTGGATAGATACTGAATGAACAGGTGCATGTGTGCATACATATGTGTGCATATGAGCCTGAGATCTGGCCCTTCCCCCCCCCTCCAATAGCCATGTTGGTGCCTCCTATCCCAAAATGCACCATGCATACTCCTGCTCAGGGCCTTTGCATCTATCATTCCTTCTCTCAGGAGCACTTATCCCCCAGATGCCTGTTTAGCCAAACCCTCCTCCAGGTCTTCCTGACAGCATCACCTGCTTAGGGAAGCTAGGCCACCTAAAAGCGGCAGCCCCTCTCCACCACAGCAGAACACTCGTCCCTCCACTACTTTATTTCTCTCTGAAGCACTTTTCACCACCTGATACGTGAGATCAGGGGCTTCTGTCTACTTTGTTCTCAGCTGTGTCCCAAGGCCCTAGGACAGAGTCTAACTCTGGGGAAGTGCTAAGCCATCTGAAGGGCGCTTGCGTGCATGTCTGGGACATCCCTATGCGTGCATCTGGGTGGGTGTGGCCAGTGCACACAAGGGAAGACACACACCTCTTATTTCTCCAAACAAAATGAAACCCCACCAGAGCCCTCTTCACCCTCCATCACACCAGGGCTTCCCCACTCCTGCCTTTACCCTCAGCTGGCACAAAACTGGGAGCCTTGCCCATCCCAAGGGTGCCCTGTCTCATCTGCAGGCCCTGTGTATACATGCCTGGGTATCCATGTGTGTCTGGGGTCATCAGTTGGGCAGCTCCCTTCTCTGTACCCACCCTGTCCCTACTCTTCAGGCCAAAAACGAGAGGAATTACCACATCTTCTACGAGTTACTGGCCGGGCTACCTGCCCAGCTCCGACAGGCCTTCAGACTGCAGGAGGCAGAGACATACTACTACCTGAACCAGGTGAGTGCCAGAAGGTTTTGAAGGCCCCCAGGCCTGGTCCTCCCACCCCATCACCCTTGTGGGGCCAGGGGAGCTGATTGTGGTATCCTAATGGCCAGCAAAGGTGATGGGGGGTTAGGGAGGGTAAATTTGGATTTAAGGCATCTTATTTCAGTGAGGGGGGGACAGGAATCCTCAGGGTCCAAAGCAGGGGGAGAGAAGAACTACCTGACTCTGTGTTTCTCTAGAGCCTGGAACAGAATCAACCAGCCTAGAGCTACCAGAAGTGCCCTCTTTGTGCCTGTTTCTTCATCTGGAAAAGGCAGACAACATGGTACCACCACACATGGATGTAGCAAGATAGAGATAAGGAAATACTTGCAAAAAAGAATGTAGCACAGGGCATGGCGTGCAGTATGTACTCAATGAACACTGGCCACTGTTTTTGTTATTGTTACTACTGGTTGCCAGAAAGGTTAATGGGTGTCAACCCTGGCCACACACGCCTTCACACAGAATCCATGAAACCTGTCCTCAGCCCTACTCAGCCTCTGGGCTATCAGAGTGAAACTCAAGATGGCCATACTGCCAGTCAAGGTAGAGTGGAGACCTGAAAGACTCCCAGCTCTCACACAGGGTTCCTGAGCCCCAACCCTTTCCCTCACCCAGGGTGGAAACTGTGAGATCACAGGGAAGAGTGATGTGGACGACTTCCGCCGGCTCCTGGCCGCCATGGAGGTGCTGGGCTTCAGCAGCCAGGACCAGGACAGCATCTTTCGAATCCTGGCGTCCATCCTGCACCTAGGCAACGTCTACTTTGAGAAGTATGAGGTGCGGGAACACCACAGACTGCCTTGGGACCCCCAGGACCCTTAGGAGAGGTCATCCTTTCGAAGGCATAAGAGCCTTCTCTGTTTCCCCTCCGGTTACAGAATGCACATTATCGTTTGTTCTTTCTTCTTTCCTTGAGGTTTTTATATTTTTGTTATTAATACATGGGAGCTCTTTAATTTTTTTTAATTAAAAAAAAGCTTTTGGAAATAAAGTCTCAGTCTGTCACCTAGGCGGAATGCAGTGGTGTGATCATAGCTCATTGCAGTCTCAAACTCCTGGGCTCCACTGAGCTTCCCTCCACCTTATTGTAGCTGGGACTACAGGTGCATACCACCATGCCCAACTAATATTTTTATCTTTTTTTGCAGTTTTTGGCCAGGGCTGGGTTTGAACCTGCCACCTCCGGCATATGGGGCTGTCGCCCTACTCCTTTGAGCCACAGGCACCACCCTTTATTTTTATCTTTTATAGAGATAGGGTTTTGATGTGTCATCCAGGTTTATCTCAAATTCCTGGGCTTAAGCAATCCTTCTACCTCAGCCTAGCACAGTGCTAGGATACACGTGTGAGCCACAGACATGTATATCTTTATATATGTTTTTGTTTTGTTTTGTTTTTTGAGACAGAGCCTCAAGCTGTCACCCTGGGTAGAGTCCCGTGGCATCACAGCCCCCAGCAACCTCCAACTCCTGGGTTTAAGGGATTCTCTTGCCTCAGCCTCCCAAGTAGCTGGGACTATAGGCGCCCACCACAATGCCCGACTATTTTTCAGTTGTAGTTGTCATTGTTGTTTGGCAGGCCAGGCTGGATTTGAACCCACCAGCTCTGGTGTATGTGGTTGGCACCTTAGCTGCTTGAGCTATAGGCGCTGAGCCTATCTTTATATATGTTAAGGATATCAGCCCTTTGCTTCTCGTATGAATTGCCAATATATTTTCCAGTTTGTCATTTATGTTTTAACTTTGTTTGCAAGTTTGGGGGATTTTTTTTTTCTCATGAAGATTAGGGGGTTTTCTGTTTTATTTATTTATTTATTGAGACAGAGCCTCAAGCTATCCCCCTGGGTAGAGTGCCGTGGCATTACAGCTCACAGCAACCTCCAACTCCTGGGCTCAAGTGAGTTTCCTGCCTCCACCTCCCAAGTAGCTGGGACCACAGGCGCCCGCCACAACGCCTGGCTATTTTTTGGTTGCAGCCATCATTGTTGTTCAGCGAGCCCAGGCTAGACTCGAACCCGCCAGCTCAGGTGTACGTGGCTGGCGCCTTAGCCACTTGAGCCACAGGCGCCAAGCCAATGTTTGTTTGTTTTAGATAGAGTCTCAGTATGTCATCCTGGATAGAGTGCAGTGACCTCAAACTCTTGGGCTTAAGTGATTCTCTTGCCTCAGCCTCCCAAGTAGCTGTGGCTACACGCACCCACCACAATGCTAGGCTATTTTTTTGTTACAGTTGTCATTGTTGATTTTAGTTGGCCCGGGCTGGGTTCGAACGTACCAGCCTGATCTGATGTATGTGGCCTGAGCTATGGGCACTGCCTCAGATTGGTTTTGTTTTTTTTTTCCTTTGAGACAGAAAGTTACTTTGTCATCCTCAGTAGAGTGCAATGGTATCACAGCTCACAGCAACCTTAAACTCTTGGGCTCAAGCCATTCTCTTCTCTCAGCTTCTGAATAGCTGGAACTGCAGGCTCCCACAACAATGCCTGGTTATTTTTTTTTTTAGAGATGGGGTCTCGCACTTGCTCAGGCTTGTCTTAAACCTGTGAGCTCAGGAAATTCACCCCCCTCAGCCTTCCAGAGTTCTAGGATTACAGGTCTGAACCATAGCGCCTGGCCCCCATGCAGATTGTTTTAAAATTATTTTTAGGCAGTTTATTTATTCATCTTTTCTTATATAAGTTGTTAACTTCTTGTCATTTTTAGAGAAATATATCTAAAATGATAATAGCCTTCTTCCATAATTTTTTTCAAGATCTTTTATGGGTTTTGTGGGGTGTTTTTAAACATTTAAATCTTTGACACTGAGTGTGGTGTGGCTCACACCTATAATCCCAGCAATTTGGGTGACTGGAGCAGGATAATCACTTGGGGTCAGGAGTTCAAGACCAGCCTGAGCAATACAAGACCCCGTATCTAAAATAATGAAAATAAAATTAGCTGGGTGTGGTGTTGCACCACTGTAGACCCAGTTACTCAAGAGGCTGAGGTGGGAGGATCACTGAAGCCCAGGAATTTGAGGCTGTAGTAAGCTATGATTATGACACTGCACACCATCATGGGCCACAGAGCAAGAACTTGTCTCTAAAATAAATAAATAAACAAATAAAATATCTTGGGAGGCTGAGGCACAAGAATCACTTAAGCCCAAGAGTTTGAGGTTGCTGTGAGCAGTGATGCCACAGCAGTCTACCCAGGGTGACAGTTCAAGACTCTATCTCAAAAAAAATTTTTTTAATAATTTTTTTTTTTTTTTTGTGAGAGGGAAAGAGAGTCTTACTCTGTTGCCCAGGCTAGAGTGCCATGGCATCAGCCTAGCTCACAACAACCTAAAACTCCTGGGTTGAAGCAATCCTTCTGCCTTAGCTTCCTGAGTAGCTGGGACTACAAGCGCCCACCATAACACCCAGCTAGTTTTTCTATTTTTAGTAGAGACAGAGTCTTGCTCTTGCTTAGACTGGTCTTGAACTCCTGAGTTCAAGTGATCCTCCCACCTCAGCTTCTCAGAGTGTCAGGATTATAAGCGTGAGCCACTGCACCTGCCTAAAAAAAATCAATCTTCAATTCATTTATGCTGCTGCTGTTCAAAGGAGGAATCCAGTTCTTTTTTTCCAGATAGTTACTCAGTTGTCCTAATGCTTGAATTTTAAACAGACCTCTTTATCATATACCAAACTCTTATATTCATTTATGTCTAATTCCAGACTTTTTTTTTGAGACAGAGTCTTACTTTGTCACCGTTAGTAGAGTGCTGTGGTGTCACCACAACACCCAGCTAGCTTTTTAGAGATGAGATCTTGCTCTTGCTCAGGCTGATCTTTTTTTCTTTTTTTATTGAAACAGAGTCTCAAGCTGTCACCCTGGGTAGAGTGCCATTGCATCACAGCTCACAGCAACCTCAAACTCTTGAGATTAAGCAGTTATCTTGCCTCACTCTCCCAAGTAGCTGGGACTACAGGCGCCCGCCACAATGCCTGGCTATTTTTTGGTTGTAGTTGTCATTGTTATTTGACAGGCCTGGGCTGGATTCAAAACCTCCATCTCTGGTGTATGTGGCTGGTGCCCTAGCTGCTTGAACTACAGGCACAGAGCCCTTAGGCTGGTCTTGAAGGCCTGAGCTCAAATGATCCACCCACCTTGCCTCCGAGTGTGCTAGGATTACAGGTGTGAGCTACTGTGCCTGGCCAAATTCCAGACTTTCTATTTTGCTTTGTTAATCTATTTATGCACTGTGTGTTTATGACCATACTGTTTTAATTATTGTAATTTTAGAATATGTTTTCATTATCCCATAAAGTCTCCTTCACGACCCTTTTTCAGAAATTTCCTGGCTATTCTAGCTTGTTTCTGTTATTTTATGAACTATAAACCCGGCTTATCTAGTTTTGAACATACTCCTGTTTGTATTTTGCATAGACGGACGCACAGGAGGTGGCCTCCGTGGTGAGTGCCCGGGAGATTCAGGCTGTGGCGGAGCTGCTGCAGATTTCCCCTGAGGGCCTGCAGAAGGCCATCACTTTCAAAGTGACTGTGAGTCTGCCTGCACCCGGCAGTCTAACCAAGCTTTCAACCAGGGCCTGGACAGAGCTGTCTTGTGCATCCTTTGTGGTCCCCTCCCCCTCCTTTCTCTGTTCCTGTCCACTGTCTGGGTCAGGGGGGTTAACCTCAGACCTCAAAGGCATTAGATCGGATCCCTATTTCCAGGCTCTGCATAGGCTGTTCCCTCTTCCTCTTTTTACACCTACTCATCTTTCAAGACCCAATACAGGTATCCCTTCCTCCAAGAAGCTTTCCCTGGTCTTGGCTAGGTTACTCTCTACTCTGGGCTGTCACAGCCCCCAGCCTGTCCTTGCTTCCCAGGGCTGATCTCATTGCATTGTTGTTTCTGCTAATGACTCTGTCTCCCCGTTCCACCAGTAGCCCCCACCACAGCCAGCATCTCCAGTCTCCCTTCCCTATTCCCCAGCCTCCCCCCGCCACTTCTCCGGGGGCTTTCTGGAGGCAGTGGCCAGTCTGCTGTCACTCCAGGGCCATGTCCCTCCCCAGGAGACAATGCGAGAGAAGATCTTCACACCCCTGACCGTGGAGAGTGCCGTGGATGCCAGGTGAGGCCACGCCTTTCCCTGCCTGAAGCCCCAGATCCCCACACCCCTACCACTGTCTCCACTCACTCTTGTACCACCTCTGCTCTAGGGATGCCATCGCCAAGGTCTTGTATGCACTGCTATTTGGCTGGCTTATTGCCAGGGTCAACTCACTAGTGTCCCCACAGCAGGACACGCTGTCCATCGCCATCCTGGATATCTATGGCTTCGAGGTGGGCTGCATGGATGGTCAAGGGGTGGGAGAATGTAAAATGAGACCTCACTTCCCTCAGTTGTGGCCAGCTGCCCTTATGTCCATCTGTCTCCCTCTAGCATGTGCCATCCTCCCTTCAGAGATCTCTCCCTTACCACCACCTCCCTGGCTCTTTCCATTTCCTTCACTCACCCACAAGTACCCCCTGAGGCTCCCAAGGACCAGGCCTAGTGCTGGGAAATGCGAGGTCCCCAAAGGGCCAACTAGGGCCTTGCCCTTGGGGACATTGCAGGTGGGGCTAGGGCTGGGTGCAGACTTGGACAAGCCCATATGATCAGAGCTGTTAGAGAAGCAGCCTCATCCTGGAGGAGCGTCCCATAGGGCAGGGATCAGGGAAGTCTTCCAGGAGCAGGAAGAGACATTCCTAAGAACCAGTACAGCCATCCTGGGTAGAAAGAACAGCATATGTAAAGGCTGGGAGGTGTGGCAGGGAGGGGACTTCCCCTGTGGGGGACCGCTGTGTGAGTACCCAAGGAAATGGTGAGGGACTGGGCAAGGGCATCACTAAAGCGATCGCAAGCACTCACATGGCAGCCATTATGTATCACGTGCTGTTCTTAGCACTTTGTTAACTCACTTCATTGTGATAACTGTGAGGAAGGGGTTCTTTTTTTTTTTTTTTTTTTGAGACATGGTCTCACTTTGTTGCCCTGGGTAGAGTGTTCTATGGTGTCATAGCTCACAGCAACCTCAAACAACTCCTGGGCTTGAGCAATCCTCTTGCCTCAGCCTCCTGAGTAGCTAGGACTACAGACACCTGCCACCACGCCTGGCTAGTTTTTCTATTTTTAGTAGAGACAGGGTCTTGTTCTTGCTCAGCCTGAGCTCATGCAATCCACCTGCCTTACTATGTGAGGGAGGTTCTGTCAGTACCCTTATTTTACAGATAGGGAAACTGAGGCACAGGGCAGCTGTTTAAGGTCACCTAGGTAGAAAGTGGCAGAGCCAGGATTTGAACCTAAGGAGCCTGAGTCCTCTGCCACTACCTGTGCTTCAGGACAAAAGCTGTCAGGCTCTGTCCTGTATGCAGGAGGGCTCTGACCAGGAGGTTTATGGTTGGGCTCCAGCTTTTGAAGCTGTAGCCATGGAAGGGAGGCCCAAGGTGGGGAGACGGGCTGCTGGCCCAGGAGGGACAAGCCCAGCCTTACCATCCGCCTGGCAGGATCTGAGCTTCAACAGCTTTGAGCAGCTGTGTATCAACTACGCCAACGAGAACCTTCAGTACCTTTTCAACAAGATCGTCTTCCAGGAGGAACAGGTGTGCAGGCCCCATTAACAGTCCCATCCCTGTCCTGACTGGCCATTTGGCTCCCTTGAAGACAGACAAGAATGTGCTGGGTTTTTTTTTTTTTTTTTGCAGTTTTTGGCCAGGGCTGGGTTTGAACCTACCGCCTCCGGCATATGGGGCCAGCGCCCTACTCCTTTGAGCCATGGGAACCGCCCTATGGTGGTTCTTTAAAGGCGTTGTCAGTAGACAGTGGAGGGAAAGGCATTCTAAGCAAAGGACCAGCATACACACAAGGCCTGTGTTCTGGAGGGAAAAGTGCTGGGATACTGAGCCCAGAAAGGAGTCTTCTTGGGAGAGAGGTCCTCTTGCCCTCCACTGTGCTGCCCCAGACAGAGGGAGCAGGAGGGCCCTGAGATGCATCATGTTGCCCTGTTAGGGGATGAGCTCCCTGTTCTAGGAGGTATGCAAGCAGAGGTACCCCCTGGCCAAACTCCTTCAGATGGATTCACCCTGGGAGGCAGAGTGAGTGAGCTAGGGGCAGGGTGGGAGGCTGAGCCCCTGCTGCCTGCAGGAGGAGTATATCCGTGAGCAGATCAACTGGCAGGAGATCACATTTGCAGACAATCAGCCTTGCATCAACCTCATCTCGTTAAAGCCCTATGGCATCCTGCGTATCCTCGATGACCAGTGCTGCTTTCCCCAAGTGAGCACTTATGAGCCTTGTCAGGTCACTGAGACTTCTGAGCCTGTGCCCTCCTCCCAACCTAAATCCTTCATTCCTTTCTGCTCTGGCTTTGGGGGAAAGAGGGTTTGGCTGTGAGGATTTGGGACATTTAAACTGCCATTCACAACCTGGGGTGATCGAGGCTGGATGGGGTGATGTGGGTGTCCAAAGGAGGACTACACCAGCCTGTGAAGTCTCATGAGGCTTCTTGGAGAAGGTAACCTTGGAATTGAGCCTCAAATCCTGATTGCAAAACACAGGGTTGGGGGTGGCAGTGGGACTAGGGCACACAAAGGCAGCTGGGCTGGGAGGGAGGTGGCTGGGAATGGAATCAGCTACACCTATCTGCCTGAGTCCATGCAGGCCTCTGGCTCCTGGCTGAGGTACTCTCCCCCTCAGGGCTAAGGCAGCTATGGGGAGCTGTAAGTTGTTCCTCTCCAGTGCCCAGTGAGGAGCAGTCAGGGCTGAAGAGTTTGCCACCAGGCCAGGAACAGAGTATCCAGGCCCCCTACCCACCTGCTGACTCTCATTTGGCCCCAGGCCACAGACCACACATTCCTGCAGAAGTGCCACTACCACCACGGCACCAACCCACTCTACTCCAAACCCAAGATGCCGCTGCCAGAGTTCACCATCAAGCACTATGCAGGCAAGGTCACCTATCAGGTGAGCCCTGAGGCAGTACATGGCTGCCAGAGCCACAGTTCCCCCAGCTGCTGGAGGGCACAACCAGATATTCACACTTGGTTCTAGTCTGGCTCTGATATTCTCCAGTTGTGTGACCTTTGGCAAATCTCTTAACCTCTCTGAGCCTTGGTTTTCTCATCTGGAAAATGGGGATAGCAGTAGTGTCCATCTCACAAGGTAAGTGTGAGACGTGTAGGATGAATGTGATGAGAGTAGCTATTATCTTTTTTTTTTTTTTTTTTTTTTGCAGTTTTTGGCCAGGGCTGGGTTTGAACCTGCCACCTCTGGTATATGGGGCCGGTGCCTTACTCCTTGAGCCACAGGCACTGCCAAGAGTAGCTATTATCAAAAGTGGTATCACTGTGGTCACCCTCATCACTTTTATCTAAGGCACATTCCTGCCCTGGAGGTGTCTCAGGCTGGGATTCCAAGCCTCTGTCCCCACATGGTGTATTTTTCTCAATGTCCTCCACGGAAGGTGAGGCCAAGACCCAGACTGGCCACATTAAGACATGGCTATTGCCCTCCTCCCCCAGGAGGAGGAGCTCGAGGAGGAGTTATAGGGTCTAGTCCATCCTAGGATAGGCAGTGGGCTGGAGGTTCAGGGTCAGGATTCCCTGGGGATGAGACTAACCGCCACCCCTATACCCCAAGAACTGAGGAAGGGGCAGGAGAAAGCAAGCTGATGTACACTAGGATGCACTGTGGACATGAGAGTAGGCAGTGTCCAGATTGAGCTGCCCGCTGTTCCCCCTTTTCAGGTGCACAAATTCCTGGACAAGAACCATGACCAAGTGCGCCAGGACGTGCTGGACCTGTTTGTGCGCAGCCGGACGCGGGTGAGCGAGCCTCGCCTTCAAATCTGGCCCTGCCCACAGCAACCCACCCACCACCTGGCCTTGGAGTTACCTTCTCCCAGCTCCCTTTAGCCTTGGCCAGCCATGGTCCGCTTACCTTGGTTGTGCCCTAACCTGGCTTCTCTCCCACCAGTCCAGGAAATGGGAACGTACCCCAGCCCTGGCTGCCCTGACTCCTCTCAGCCCAGGTGGCCAGACCCAGGCCCTGCTCCCAGCCCTAACACTGTATCACCTAGCCTTCCTGGATACTGTCCCTCATTCCTAGCCCCGCCCCATTCCCTGGCTCCTTCTCACTGGCGTCCTGTGGGACAGTTTTCCCAACTCAGCTGAGTTCCTTTCCACTAGACCAGAGCCCTCCCTGCCCCACCCCGCTCCGTCATGGTGGGGGGGGATTTGGGGGAGGTCCCAAATCCCAGCCCCACTATGGGCCAGCAGATGGCCCTACAGCAGAGCCTGGTCGCATCACTTCCCCTATCTGGCCCTCTGCTTCCTATCTGAACTCGGTACCCTTCTCATGAGGTCTTTGACAGAGTTCATGACCATGTGTATAACAGACCACTTGGGCCAAGCACATGTCACAGTCAGTACCTGTGTATTCCTCATACTGAAGGGAACAAAAGTCCAATTGTGGAATGGGCTTCCGTTGGAAGGTGCTAAGCCCCTTGGTTTGAGATGTGTGCAAGCCAGGACTGAGGTTTGCAGAGAGAATGGATGGTGGGGGGGCTGGGGTGGTGGTGATTCTAATTAGTTTTCAGATCATTCCAGTTCAGAAACTTGACTCCTTTTGTTCTCTCTCTGCCCCTCCTCCTTTATGTCTCTTGGCCCCCTACATCTCTGTCTCTGTTTTCCCTGCCCTGACCTGGCCTGCTGCAAACCTCTGCCCAGGTGGTGGCACACCTCTTCTCCAGCTGTGCCCCTCAAGCTGCCCCTCAGCGCCTCGGCAAGAGCAGCTCTGTCACCCGGCTCCACAAGGCACACACAGTGGCCGCCAAGTTCCAGCAGTCACTCCTGGATCTGGTGGAAAAGATGGAGAGGTGGGGGTAGGGGTGGATCACCCAACCTCACCTTTAACCTGCCTAAGACCCTCAGCAGGTGAGCATCTTCCTCTTCTGAGGCCTCACACTACCCTCCTCCTGTCACTGCCAGGTGTAACCCCTTGTTCGTGCGTTGCTTGAAGCCCAACCACAAGAAGGTAAACAGGAGCTGAAGCCTCTGGGAGAGCTAAATACTCCTCCCTGTATAACCTTGGGCAGGGGGTTTGGCCTCCCTGTTCCTCCATCTTCGTAGCCTACCGTAGCCGCTGTTCACCACCAATAGCTTCCTTTGCACAGAGACAGGCTAAATGCAGACTCCCTCTCTGGGCATCCCCACAGGAGCCAGGTCTGTTTGAGCCAGATGTGGTGATGGCACAGTTACGCTATTCAGGGGTGCTAGAGACTGTGAGGATTCGCAAGGAAGGCTTCCCCGTGCGACTGCCCTTCCAGGCGTTCATTGACAGGTATCTTGGTCAGCGTAGCTCCTGGGCTCCACATACCCCTACCCAACCCCCTGTGGCCCCAAGAACACATAACCCAGGCAACACAGGGCTTGCCATACACAAATTCCTTAGGCTATAAACCACACAAGACCATCACATTAACATGTAGATGTATTTATTGTTTTACCTTAACAAATCATATAGTTTGATTATGTGTTGACTCCAAAGAGTGATTTTAATGGTTATTATGACAGATTTCTAGCAGATGGCAGGAAAATATCTTGTTCTACTAAAATCATCTCTTACAACAATTTTCAGACATCTAGAAATAGTCTTGAGGATGGAGTGCCTTTTAGTCATTAAAGATAACATGAATGGAACCACCACTGGGACTAAGCCTCCTAGACACAGGGCCCTAGGTAGGGGGATGACCTTGGTCTAGCAGGTACCTGGGGAAGATCTTAAAGCACCAGACTGAGTTTGGGCCTCCATAGGTACCGCTGTCTAGTGGCCCTCAAGCATGACCTGCCAGCTAATGGGGACATGTGTGTGTCAGTGCTGAGTCGCCTGTGCACAGTTACGCCAAATATGTACCGTGTTGGGGTCAGCAAGGTGAGTCCCACCCATAGCCAGTCCTTGAAGACGCCAAGTTCAGGAGCTATAGAACTGCAGCCCATTGAGTCAGAAATGTCTAAGCTAGGCCTGCACGGTGGCTCACACCTGTAATCCCAGCACTCTGGGAGGCTGAGGCGGGTGGATTGCCTGAGCTCATGAGTTCAAGACCAGCCTGGGCAAGAATGAGACCCCCATCTCTAAAAATAGCTGGGTGTTGTGGCAGGAGCCTCTAGTCCCAGCTACTTGGGAGGCTGAGGCAAGAGTATCACTTGAACCTACGTGTTTGAGGTTGCTGTGAGCTATGACACCATGGCACTCTAGCGAGGGTGAGAAAGTGAGACTCTGTCTCAAAAAAAAGAAAGAAAAAAAAAATGTCCAAGCTAAAGACTATTATCCCAGAAGCAGTCCAGATGAGATTGGTACATGGAACGCTAATCTCACCTCCTGACCTTTGCTCAGGCACTTCCCACTCCCTAATTCACCACCACCCTTTTGTCCACCTCTCCAAACCCAGCCTATCCTTCCAGCTGGGCCCCAGAAAGCTGCCCTGTCTATTCTGTCTTCATGGGCTTACAGAGGGGAGGGGCCTCTAGTCCAGCCTCCTGGCTCTTAACTGCCTCAGTGCCTGTGTCCTGTCCTCAGCTGTTCCTTAAGGAACATCTCCACCAGCTGCTGGAGAGCATGCGAGAGCACGTCCTGAACCTAGCAGCCCTCACGCTGCAACGCTGCCTCCGAGGTTTCTTCATCCAAAGGCGTTTCCGCTCTCTACGCCACAAGATTATCCTGCTGCAGAGCAGGGCCCGGGGCTACCTTGCCAGGTATGGCCTGGGGAAGGTAGCCCTCCCTGGAGACCCACAGCAGGCTTGGGGCAGGCCATGCCTGACCTCAGGTCATGGGCTTCTTGTCCCTGAAAGCATGCAAGCTGAGGGTGCTTTTGGCTGTCATGGCCACCCATCTCCAGGCCCTTGTGACTACTGGGTGGGAATCTTTCTGGCTGAGGAGGCCCGTCCTATATCTTAGGGACCCTGAGACTATAACCTGATGGGAAATACTGGTCCAGGCAGGTTTAATCCAGGCTCTGTGACTTAATTGGCTGTGTTGCCATGACCAAGCTTCTGCCCCTCTCTGAGCTTCAATTTCTGAACTGAGTGAAGTATGGGCACTGGCTCCTACGCCAGGCTGGCAGAGGAATTCCTGACCCTTAGCCACCCTGTCACCCATGGCCCCAATCCCTAACCACCACCACCTCCAGGCAGCGCTATCAACAGATGAGGAGGAGTCTGGTAAAGTTCCGGTCCCTGGTACACACGTATGTGAGCCGCCGACGCTATTTCAAGGTACAAGCACTACTACAAGGAACACCTATCCCCAGACCAGGGCTCATGTATGAGTCCATGCTCCAGGAGCAGCAGCGGGCAGGGGAGGAGGCACTTAGCACTCAAGAAGATATTTGGGGCCTTATTGCTCTAAGGTTCAAATCCACCCCTCTGCCACTCAACTAGCTGGGTCACACTAGAACTCTCTAGCCTCAATTTCTCCATCTACACCTTAGGATTGCGGAGAAAGTTAAGTGATACATTGCATGTGAAGAATTCAGCCTAGTGCTGGGTTCATAGCGGGGGCTTCAGGAACTGGGTATGATTAGAATTCAGTGAACATCACTGGATATCAGTCTTGGCCCGCTGTCATGTAAACCAACCACCAGAAAGACAAATGCAATTCCCAGAGCACTGAAGAACTATGTAGCCTTTCCTGAAGTTTCCTGGAGCTACAGAGGAGTGTTTCCCATCACACAGTGCTCAGCCGCGTCCCAGATACCCTCCCGTACCACTCTCGTTCCCCAAAGTTCTCTTCCCTCCACCCTTCGTTTCTGCCTCTCTCTTGCTCTCTCTCCTGTCCCCTTCCTGTTTTCTGGCCACACCTCTGCCTCTCCCTTCCCATCTGGAAGACAGGCAGGCTGCCTCCCTTGCTTCTTGTGTGGCCACCAGTACCACCTGGCCTGACCACTGCCTCTGCCCACCATTCTCCACCTTGACCATTTGCTCTCCTGTGTGAGGGGACAGCAGAGGGGCCAGATGGAGGAGGCATGGCTGCAGGAGCCGGGGGTGGGGATGTGTGGGGGCTCCAAGTGGCAGCAGGGTCAGGAAAGGAAGCCAGCAAGTAGTATGGCAAGCCTGTCTCTGCCCCATACACTGTTCCTGTAGGAGCTGAGCAAGCGAGAGGTGGTAGCCGTGGGGCACCTAGAGATGCCAGCTGAGCTGGCTGGGCTCCTGCAAGCAGTGGCAGGTGGGTCAGCATGGGGCAGGGGGCGGGCACAACGGACCATGGAGCAGACTCCACATGCCCTCCTCTCTGCACAGGCCTCAGGCTGAATTGGGTACCCAAGGTAGCCCCTGTGCGGACTCCCCGGCTCAAGGTTGAACCCCGTGTCACACTGCCCCTGGACATCAACAACTTCCCCATGGCCAAGTTTGTCCGGTGCCACTTCAAGGTAAGGGCTGGCACAGGTGCAAGGCATCCTGGCCAGTGGGCCCTCACTTGTTAGAACTGACATTGTCCTAGTTCCTGGCTGTGCCCTGTGAGTTGGGTATGAGCCTTTCAGCTGCTGGGTCATGGGGACTCTGGGTGACTCCCAGGGACCCACATAGCAGTGGAGGCCCTCCAGGACTGTCTACCAACTGGTCTGGAAACATTTCAGATATCAAGCATCTGGTAGAGTCTTGCTCTAATTTCCTGCTCATTCTTTTCCTAATACTGACTCACTAAGGGCCACTATGGCCTTTCACTAACCTCAGTGTCCCCATCATCAGGCCCACAGGCCCTAGAGCCCCACCTGGCACAGGACAGTGGCTCTAGATGTGCCTGTCAGTCCTGGCTCTGTTTCCTCATGTGCCTGTCCCATGCCCCCAGGAACCTGCCTTTGGGATGCTGACAGTTCCCCTGAGGGCGCCCCTCACACAGCTGCCAGCTGAGCACCATGCAGAAGCCGTGAGCATCTTTAAGCTGGTATGGAGTCTGCCCCAGTCCCCTTCAAATTTATAGCCTCTGTGAGGGAGGCAGCCATGAGGCCCAGCACTGCTCTTCTAGGGCTCCCCAGCCTACTCCAGAAGCCCCACCCTCCCCCTTGGAGAAGATACTTTCATGGCAATGGGGGGACTTGACTTCCAGTCTGGGGACAGGTGGCTTTTCTTCTCCCAGCCATTGTCCTGGCAGAAAGGCTGCCTGGGGGCCTCTCTGGAGTCTCCCAGGGACACCCAGAAGAGACCTAGGTTCTCTCTTCAGCAACATCCCAATAAGACAAGGGAAGCACCAAGGCTGAGGAGTCTAGGAAGGCTGCTAATTCAGCTCTGGACAAGGTCAAAGAAGGCTCCCTGGAGCAGGGTGCCTTTGTGCTGGAGGAGAATTTGCTAGGCAGGCAGGGTGGAGAAGACACAAAGAAGAGGAAATCGGGTGGTTAGAACAGAGTCGGGAAAGCAAGGGTGAGAGTGGTCAGCAGGGCCCTGACTGCAGACGCAGAGCACAGGTTTCATCCCAAGGGACCTAAGGAGGCAAGGAGCCTCACTTCCATGGGAGGGATGTGAACTATCTGGCACTGAGATAGGGCAGGAAGTGAGGCACTGGCTGGAGGCCAGCAGAGCAAGCTGGGGCTGTATGGGGGCCACAGAAGGTTTATGAGCAGGAGTGAAAGTCAGCATGTATTTTGGGTCTTGACTTCTATAGTTGGAACAAACTGCCTAGTCATTTGGCATAGAATAAGGCAGTTATGTTGTAGTATAAGAGGCTTTCATACGGGCAAGGGGACACGTGGAAGGATGTTAGAGGGATACAGAACTGGTAGAACTTTCTGAGAGGCCCAGGAGAGTCTGTCTGTGGTGCAGATCCTGCGTTTCATGGGCGATCCCCACCTGCATGGTGCCCGAGAGAATGTCTTTGGGAACTACATTGTGCAAAAGGGGCTGGCAGTGCCAGAACTGCGGGACGAGATCCTGGCCCAGCTGGCCAACCAGGTGTGGCATAATCACAACGCCCACAACGCTGAGCGCGGCTGGCTGTTGCTGGCCGCCTGCCTCAGTGGCTTTGCACCTTCCTCACGCTTCAGCAAGTACCTCCTCAAGTGAGTGAGACCGGGCAGGGCTGGGGCATGAGGGATGGTGGCACAGGCAGTGGAGCCTGAAGTGGGATCTTAAAGGCCAGGCCAGAAGTGAAGTCTGTGCCCAAAGCTCAAGTCCAAGGCTGGCCAGAGCTACTCTGATCACCACTGGGCTCAGAGCAAAAAAGAAGGGCAGGCCCACTGCTGAGGGTTGGAGTCAGGTCAGACTGGATGGTGGACTTCCAGAATTTAGAGGGGGGCAAGACTAAGGTGTGGGGCATTTGGAAGAAAGCATTGATCTCTTGCTGCATGGGAGTGTAGTGAGATGGTGAGGAACATGGACACCAGACTCAGGCAATTTAGGTTCAAATCCCAGCTCAGCCACATATGAGCTATGTGACCTTGAGCAAGTTACTTAACCGCTCTTGGCTTCAGTTTCCTCACCTATAAACTGGGGATAATAATATTGACTTCATAGGGTGGGTTGAAATGTGTAAATATTTGTTGAAGTGCTCAGAACTCATGGTCTCACAGTAAGTAATGTGGCTATAATTATCAGAGTGATGTCACCCTGCTGGGTAGGGAGGATGATTTAGAAGGGAAAGAGCCCCATCAGGCCCTGGGTGTGAATCCCAGCTCTGATACTTAACCTGCTATGTAGCCTGGGGCAAGTCACTGCCCTTCTCTGGAACCTATTTCTCCCCGACAAATTGAGGATGGTACCAGGACCCACATAACAGAGTGGCTGTGAGCCACAAAGCATACAGAGCCTCCCTCAGGCCAACGTGCAGTAGGTGGTCATTACATGGCTAGTCTTGTGAGTCCATGACCACTGTAGCAGCATGGCCCTAGGTTCCCTCCTGCAGCCACAGTAGGTCTGCACCACTGCTGCTGCTAGGCCTAGCAGTGGGGTGGGGATAGGGAGGTATGAGGAACACCTGTCCCCAGCAAGGCTCAGACTTGTTGGGCCTGGATCGAGTTGAACCCTCACAGCCATCTTTCCCTAGATGACAACATGGAGTGGCTCAGAGAGGTAGATAACCACCCAGTGAGGGTAGAGTCCTCCAGAATCCAGCTTATTGCCCACACCCAGCCGCAGACCCAACCTTGTCAATGACATTTTTGTTCCCACAAGCTAGAACCTCTTTGGCCTGTCTTTGGACCTCTGTATTGGCCTGAGATGCTTCTGGGCTAGGCTGGGACACTTTCAGTTTAGCTGTGGAATCCTGAGCTAGCCTGAGATCTTTTTTTGGTTAGCCTGACAACTCTGAGCTAGACTGGAGCCCTTCAGCATTGTCCCACAGCTCTGGACTATAACCTGGGGACCCTGCTGCACCAGCCTAGTGCCCTTTCAGCCTCTCCTTAGATCTCTGGATTAGGCTGGGCCTTTCTCAGACTCGTCTCAGAACTGCCTGCCCCACCACTCTGCCCTCCGTAGCCTCAGATCCCTCTTGATCCTAGTCTGACTCCTACCCACCAGGTTTGTGTCTGATTATGGGCAGAATGGCTTCCAGGCTGTGTGTCAGCATCGCCTCATGCAGGCCATGGGCCGGGCCCAACAGCAGGGCTCAGGGGCTGCCCGCACCTTCCCCCTGACCCAGCTCGAGTGGATAGCAACCCATGCGAAGGCGAGCATGGTGCTGGACGTGGGCTGCTTCAGTGGTAAGCTGCCTTCCCTATCCTCATGCTGTTGTCTCTCCCACCTCATGGAGGGGCAGTTGGAGTCAGCCGGGCCCAGTAAGCCCTGGGGTTGACAGAAGCCACAGGAGGTTCTGGAGCTGGGGAAGGACCTACTTAGATGTAGCTCTGCATGAAGTCAATGTTGGGGCTGGACCTGGACTGGGGGTGGGAGCCAGGGCAGCGATGATGCAGATACATGGGTGCAGGACAAGAGTCAGGAAATGTAAGAAGGAGAAGCATGGCCAGACTGGACTACAGATGCTCCAGACTGAGCCCAGGACTGCTATGCCCCAGGTGACCAGTTCTCCTGCCCAGTGCACTCCTGGAGCACAGGGGAAGAGGTGGCTGGAGACATTCTGAGGCACAGGTTGGCTCCTAGGATGCCCTGCCCAGCACACTCTAGTACACCTGGGAAGGAGGGAGGGAGGGAGGGGCAGGAGGCAAAATCCTCCAAGGCCCCATAGGGTCCATCCTGGTCTAGCTTACATCCCAGGGTCTGCCTAGGCAGTGCCTGATGGTTCTGTCCTCATTTCCACCCCCGTGTGCTGTCACCAGGGGGCTGGCAGATGGCTGGCGGGGCTGGACAGTGGCCATGAAGAATGGGGTCCAGTGGGCAGAGCTTGCCGGCCATGACTATGTGCTGGACCTGGTGTCGGACTTGGAGCTGCTCAGGGACTTTCCTCGACAGAAGTCTTACTTCATCGTGGGTGCAGAGGGACCTGTGACTGGCAGGGGAGGCCCCAGAGTGTAGGTAGCTGCTTGGGTGCCCTTCACATGATAGCCTCCCCCAGGCAGAAGGTACCCACCCCTCCCCCCGCCAGCTGCTGAGAGAGGCTGAGTTCTGAACTTGAGCTTCAGGGCTTTTAAGGAGGTGGAGCTCAGCAGAAGATCCTGCCTTATAAAAGGGAGAAAAGTTGTTTGGTTCCAAGGTACAGAGAATTTGGGGGGTTCTGAGAAGGCTCTGGATCTCTCTGGTGGTCAGCTGCTCCTTATTCTTCCCCACAGGGTATTTGGGAATGGCTGGGACTCGGATGAAGACATGCCCACTAGGCCCCAGCCCCAGGGGCACATACCCAAAATACCTGACTCTGATGGGTACTGCAGCCACAGTGAGGATGGAACTGATGGGGAGACTGAGGCCCAGAGAGGGACAGCAACTCACCAAGGTCAGTCAGCAATGCCATTGTCTCTGGTAGGGAGGGAGCCTTGGAGGCTACTGGGGGATGGAGATCAGCAGAAGAAAAGAACTTGACGTTTTTATATCCCCTACCAGACTCTGATAGCCTTGGCCAGCCTGCCGTGCCCCCCAAGGGCCTGGACTGCTACCTGGACAGCCTCTTCAGCCCTGTGCTATCCTACGGGGATGCGGTAGGGATGGGGGGTGGGGCATCTGCAGATAGCAGCATGGGGCATGTCACATGCACGTGATGACACGGAGCTTCTCACAGCCAGGGCCACGGCAGTGTGTCCTATCTGGATCTCTTCTGGGGGCTGGGCAAAGGGTGAATGTCTCCTTATAGAGAGAGTGCTCCTAGCTGGCCCCAGAAGGACCCACAGCTAGGTGAGCAGGGCCCTGTCATGACCTCTGGTGGGTGCCAGGACCCCAGGGCCACTAAGATCTTTCCATTTGGGTGGGAGTGACTGACTAGTCCTTGAGGTCTCTGGCCCCAGATCTCATAAGACCCCTTCCGGTGCCCCTGCTTACTCTGGAACCTCTCCAGCACCTTCTGTGGCCCCTGGTAGGATGTGTAGCTCTAAGCTGGGCACAGCCCCTCTTGGAGCCTCAGTTCACTCCTCTGTGGAAGGCGGATGGGTTAGGAGCTACCCTCTTGTGGAGGGACTGGTTGGATGAGCATGGTAAAGGCACAGCAGACACTTGCCCAATGGGAGGCCCTCCTGGGGATGGGGAAAGTGGCCGGTATCAGATGCCTGTTGCCATAGAACCTTGAGAGTGCAGCATTGAGGCAGTCACTTGAGCCACCTGCCCCTAGGACCTGGAGAAGCCAACAGCCATTGCCTACCGCATGAAAGGGGGAGGCCAGCCTGGTGGAGGAGGCAACAGCAGTGCTGAAGACACTTCCAGGAGACCCCCAGAGCCAAAGCCAAAGCCAAGTCAGTGCCTCCCCTAGGGTGGTTCCAGGGTTGGGCAGAGCTAAGGCCACTCACAGGTCCTCAGACACCTTCATGTGCTAGAATGAAGGTGGCCATAGGCATGGTAGGGGTGAGAAGCCAGATAGGCATGGTAGAGAATCCCGCTTCCCTCCATATCCTGTGCCCTCTCCCTCCCCCTCAGTCCCAGGCCTGGATGCCTCCACATTGGCCCTGCAGCAAGCCTTCATCCACAAACAAGCCGTGCTACTGGTAAGTGAGGGAGGGACTGGTGGGGCTCAGGAAAGGGACCTGCCTGTTCACTACTGTCACCTCTTCCCAGGCCCGGGAAATGACCCTGCAAGCCATGGCCCTCCAGCAGCAGCCCCTGAGTTCTGCCCCGAGATCCTTGCCCCCAGAGGTAAGCCGGGCCTACCCTGGGTGAGGGGGTTGCCTAGAGATGAGCTGTGAAAAGGAGAACTGTGCTGCTCCAGGGTGTCTTTGTGCCTCTCTGAGCCCCTCTTGGACACAGAAGAGGTCCCTGAGAGCAGGCTGGTAGGTCCCAGGCAGCCCACCCCATGCCCTGCTTTTGGTAGAAGCCCTTAGTGCCAGAGGCACGGCCAAAGTCTGTAGGCACCGGTCCTCCTGCCAAGCCTGTGCTTCTGCGTGCTAGTACGAAGCCCTTTACATCAGCCCCGCTGGCCAAGGCCCCCAGGCCCTCCACCAAGCCTGTGGCTGCTCCTGTTCTAGCTCAGGACTGGGCTTCCGCAGAAACCAGTAAGTGTCCTAACCCAGCCTAGGGTGCTTCCCAGGACAGAACTGGGAGTGTGGTTGTGTCCCCTGTGGCCTCAAACCACCCCTTACAGCTCCCCTCACCCACAGCTTCACCGTCCCCAGAGCTGGTCCGGTACTCGACACTCAACTCAGAGCACTTCCCACAGCCTACACAGCAGATCAAGAACATTGTCAGGCAGTACCAGCAGCCGTTGTCCTGGGGAGACCGGCCCGAGGCTCGCAGGTCAGTGCAGCCCCCATCCCAGTCCTCCAGGCTGACAGCTGACAAAGTGCCTACCATCAGTGCACCTTCCCACTGGACTGAACCACACCATGCCCTGCTCTGTGCAGGAGTGGGTGTGTTTATACTGGGGGATCCAGATGAGCCCCAGGGTGAAGGGAGGCCCAGACTGCTGCTGTCTGGGCTGTGCTGTGAGCACTCCTCTCCAGCATCACTCCTCTCCAGATGCTCATTTATAGTGATGGGAGATGAAGGAAGAAATTCCTTACTGTGGGAATGTGGAAGGGTAAAAGGGGGACTCAGCGACCCACCCTCCATGGTATGCCAATGGCTCCCAGGAAGATGTTCCTGAAGCGACCAGACCCCCACGAGGAGGCCCTGATGATCCTGAAGGCACAGATGGCTCACTTGGCAGCAGTGCCTGGCACACAGGTGAGGGCAGGGGGTGGGGCTGGGCTCAGGGGGGAAATGAGACGGAAAGAACCTCCAGGCAGTCTCAGAAGCCAGCTAGCTCTGCATGCCATGGCCCTGCTGCAGGGCCTGCTGCTGCCCCTTGAGCACTCTCTTTGGGGTGGGACAGGTGTCCAGAGAGGCTGTGGCCCTGGTGAAGCCAGTAACCAGTGCAGCCAGGCTATCCACAGAGCCCATTTCAGGTGAGAGTGAGGCAAGAGGGCAGGGTTGGCCCATGTGTGAGTGAGGCTGTGAGACGGATGAGGCTCAATGTGTGTCAGTGGCTTGTGTGTCTGTGCCCCTGAGCCCATGTGCACATGTAATTAGGTGTAATTGTAAGACCAACACTTAAATAACAGATCCCAGGCCATGCCCACCCACCCTCTTTATCATATTAAAACTCTTTAAGATAGTATTATTTGTTCCTATGTGTTCCAGGTGGGAAAGTGGAGGCACATGGAGGTTAAGTGGCTTACCCAAGGTCATACAGCTCATAAAGGTTAGACCAGGACCAGGTGTGGTGGCTCAGGCCTATTATCTTGGCAGTTTGGCAGGATCACTTGATGCCAGGAATTTGAGAAACCCCATGTCTATCCCAGGAATTTGAGAAACCCCATGTCTACAAAAAATTAAAAAATTAACTGGGTGTGGTGGTACATACCTGTAGGTCTAGCTACTCAAGAGTCTGAGGTACAAAGATCTCTTAAGCTCAGGAATTTGAGATAACAGTGAGCTATGATTTCTGTATGTATATAAGTAAATAGCAAATTAAAAACCAAATAAAAGTAAAAAAATAAATGAAAATAATAAAAATTATTTAATTTTAGAAAGTACCAGATCAGGGATATAAACACAGGCCTCTTCGTTCTGGAGCCCTAACCTTATATCCGCTGTCTCTTGGCAGCCACAGTGATCTTTTTTTTTTTTTTGAGACAGAGCCTCAAGCTGTCCCCCTGGGTAGAGTGCTGTGGCATCACAGCTCACAGCAACCTCCAACTCCTGGGCCCAAGCGAGTCTCCTGCCTCAGCCTCCCAAGTAGTTGGGACCACAGGTGCCCACCACAACGCCCGGCCATTTTTTGGTTGCAGCCGTCATTGTTGTTTGGCAGGCTGGGCTGGATTCGAACCCGCCACCTTAGGTGTATGTGGCTGGTGCCTTAGCCACGTGAGCCACAGGCCCGAGCCAGCCACAGTGATCTTAAAAGATACAGATCACCTTATATGTGCCCCTGATAGAAACTCTGATGGGCCTACCTTGAACTCCAGACTCCTCCCTATGGTCTGTGAGGCCTACATGATCTACCCACCTCCCTAGCCTCATTTCCCGCAGTCCCCTAGGCACTTTGTTCCTCTCTATTCCTAGAGCACACTAAGCCCACTCCTACCTCAGGGCCTTTGCATTTGCTGTTTCATCTGCCAGAATGCTCTTTCCAAAGATCTTTGCATGTCTGGCCTCTTTTTATCCTTCAAGTCTCAGCTCAAATGTTACATCCTCAGAGAGGTCTGCCTACAGCACCAGAAGTGAAGGATCAGCCCCCAGACTCCCTTCTACATCACCCTGCTTTACCTCCCCTTCCACTCTGGCACTGAGATTCTAAATGGTTTGTTCCACCCACATTTGTCTTGTTCACTGGGGCATCCTCAGCCCTTAGCAAAGGCCTCACATATAATAGGTGCTCTCTAAGCATGTTGAATGAAGGGCTGGATGGTACAGGTGTGACCTGTGTGAGCAGATGTGTCTCTCCCACATGCCCTGCCTCCTCTGTTTTGTGTTGAGAGCCCCTGCCCCATGCTCTCCAGCACCTTCAAGGTCGCTGGAGCCCCCAGAGAAACCTGTACAGACACGGCTGCACCGCCTTGACAACCCCAACTTCTACGGCTACCAGGATGCCCCTTGGCACATCTTCCTGCGAAAAGAGGTGCAAGGCATGGAACTAGGGGAGGGGCTAGAGGGGAGCAGAGGGGGATCCAGGATGGGGGCCAGACCCAATAGAACAGATTCAGGGCAGGCCTGGAGCTAGGGGCAGAGTCTGGGGGGGCCTGAATGCATGAAGCAGGGCTGTATCTGAGGGGTGTGGCCAGGTGTGAAGCAAGGTGAGGCTCTGTCCAAGGGCACCCACCAAAACCCCACCCCAACAGGTATTTTACCCCAAGGACAGCTATAGCCACCCTGTGCAGCTAGACCTCCTGTTCCGGCAGGTGAGGCCTCTTCCCTTTTTGCTTCCGGGTCCTCAGCAGGGCTATGTGGCCACCTAGACTATCTATCTCCATTTTGCTTCTGAGCTCTGGGATTTAGGGTCCTTGACTGGCGTGAGGATGGGAAAGTGTCTTACTGAATTGCCTACTCACTCAGTGAGCCCACAGTTTCACCCAGTCAGAGTCACAGTTTGAGCTAGATGGGGTCCAGAGGTCACATCGGAAATAGGCCTGGGCAGGGCTGCCAGAATTGTGGAGTTGAGGAGGAAGGCGAGAGCCCTTATTTACACAGATGACAGTTCACAGATGACCCACTGCTGAAAAATTGGACCTTCCACTTCCCCGCTTCCCCTGGAGCAGCCCAGCCTGGGCTCCTGCCTGGGGCAGTCCCCTGGGCAGCCTAGCTCATGGCTTATTCCTACAGATCCTGCATGACACCTTCTCCGAGGCCTGCCTGCGCATCTCTGAGGAGGAGAGGCTCAGGATGAAGGCCCTGTTTGGTATCGCAGTGGGTGGGGAGGGACATCTATGGGGCAGCTAGTCAGCTCCACCATTAGCACTTTTCCCAGACAGAAACTGAGGCCAGTGAGCCCAGCCTATTGGTTCCTAGACATGGCCCCTCCTTGCTCTGTTCTGGCTAGGCTGGGTGTTTGGGGGTGGCAATGCCTGACATACCACTTTGTGGCCGGGCCATCTTGTCTGTCTCTGGAGTTCAGTTTCTCAGTATAGATACTAGCCAGATGCCTTCCTGCTTTGTGTCAGCCTCCCTCCCTGAGGTCCCTAAGATGTGGGCCTGGTGGGAAGGGAGAGAGGGTCCTGACTAGGCCTGGCCTCCTGTAGCCCAGAACCAGCTGGACACCGAGCGACCTCTGGTAACTGAGAGCGTGAAGCGGGCAGTGGTCAGCACTGCACGAGACAACTGGGAGTTCTATTTTTCCCGCCTCTTCCCTGCCACGGTGCGAGCCCCCATGTGCCCCCATCTGCCCAGGGGACTCAGGGATGAAGTAAAAAGACCCTCACAAACTTTTATCCCCCTAGGGCAGTGTGGGCACTGGCGTGCAGCTCCTAGCTGTAGCCCACACAGGCATCAAGCTCCTGCGGATGGTTAAGGATGGCCAGCAGGCCTATGGGCAGCTGCGGGTCCTGCGTGCATACAGGTGGGTGGCAGGTCGGGGGACCAGGGGAAAGATGGGGATCAGCATTCCCTCACACTTTCCACAGCCACTTACCCAGTACCTGTGATGTGTCAGGCTCTGAGCTACACCCTTTAAACAAGCCCATTTTAGAGCTGGGGAAACTGAGGCTCAGAGAAGTTGCTTGTCTCAGGTCACGCAGCCAGGAAGAGGTTGAATTAGGGATCTGCTACCCTGTCCACCTCTTGGACCATATATATGCCAGCCCTGCCCTCACAGAGCTCACCATGCACAGGGGCAGCTGTACTGCAGATGACCTCGCCTTGATAAAACTGAGAAGGGAAATGGCTCTTTGGCTATTTTACTGAGTGCTCAGACTCCCTCCCCTGCTTGAAGTCCCTTTTGTCCTTCATAACATGAGGACAGGAATAGAGCCTTGCTCACTGGGTGGGTGAAAGTTTCTTGCTTTGAAAGGTAGAGAGAATTTGAACAATGGATGAAAGAAATTTGTGTGGGCAGAATCTGGGAGATTGGACGGGGATAAATGATAGGGAAAGGCTGGAGTCCTAGTCCAGAGGGAAATGAACTGAAACCACTGCTTGGGCTGGAGAGGGTAGTTAGGCAGTTCCTTGGGTCCTAAGAGCTGGTATAATGGGGGTAAGGTGGGACTTGGCTTGGGGAACAGGACAGGGCAGGAACAGAAGTGGCACAATAGGTGGAGGAAGAGCATCCCTTTGGCCTCAGCCCTGTCCTAATGCCACCTGCCTATCCTCCAGCTTTGCAGATATTCTGTTTGTGACCATGCCCTCCCAGAACATGCTGGAGTTCAACTTGGTCAATGAGAAGGTCATCCTTTTCTCAGCCCGAGCTTACCAGGTCAAGACCCTGGTGGATGACTTCATCCTAGAGCTGAAGAAGGTCAGGACCCTCCCACAGATGTCCCCTACTCCCTCCCTGGCTCTCTCTTGGGCCAAGGGCCCAAGAACGGATCTCTCCTGCCCCAGATGCAAACCGGCCCTGCCTGCTTGGGAAATATGTCTGTGCAGGTTCCAGTGACTGTCCATAGGCATGTGTGTGCCTTCAGGCCTATGCGCAGGCTGTGCCTTCCACCCGGAGTGTCCCTTTCTTCTTTTGCCTACTGTACGAACCTTTCCTAGTGCCCCCAATGGAGTGGCATGGTACCTGCTCCCAGCCCCCGCTCTCTGGCTGCATGGCTCACCCACTGCATCTTAGTCTCTGTCCTTCACTGCCCCCCATTCACTGGGCCAGTTGTAGGCCTAAAGCAGGTCACCTGTGTGCCCCAGACCCAGCACCTGGCCCAGGGAGTGCTTCCATGGGAAAGTCTGGTGAGGGATTGAGTGGGCAAAGCACAGGTGTGCCCTAATGTCTGTATCCATCAGACTTGTGTCTCCAGTCCCTCCTCTCTGGAATGCCCTTCCCTCTGCTTCCCTGAGAAGTCAGGGATGATGTGATTAGTGGAGGTGGGTGGGTGGGGGGTGGCCCCAGGCCTTGAGGAGGCAGCGCAGCCCCTCACCATGCCCCTGGTTGGCCCAGGACTCCGACTATGTGGTCGCTGTGAGGAACTTCTTGCCTGAGGACCCGGCGCTGCTGGCCTTCCACAAGGGGGACATCATCCACCTACAGCCCATGGAGCCCCCTCGAGTGGGTCAGCACTGCAGGGGTAGGGGGTAGGGGGTATGGGCCCTCCCTGCTGGATGCTGAGACAGGTCTGGCCTGCAGGCTACAGTGCCGGCTGCGTGGTCCGCAAGAAGGTTGTGTGCCTGGAGGAGCTGCGGCCTGGAGGTCCTGACTTCGGTGGGTACCTCCAACCTTGGGAAGCATGAGCAGGCTTATCTGAGTTTTATGCACTCACACTGCAGATGCATGGCAAGGGTTTCTTGGAGCATGAAAGGAGGTCTGTGCTGACCAGGTCTCCTCAGGCCCCTGCCGGCCCATCCAGCCTGCTGGCCATCCAGCCCAGCCCTCTGCTCTGCCTGCATGTGTGGCAGAGGGGTCTCTATGGACATTGGTGTCTCTGTGCTTGTGACCAAGATCTTCCTGTGACCCCACATGCCTGAGCATCTGCAAGTGCTGCTGTGCCTTTCTGCTTCACTTCCCATGCAGTCCTGTGGCCCTGAGAGACCCTTTCCTTTTCTGAGCCTCTGTTTCCTCATCTGTAAAATGTACTCACTGCCCTCACAGAGCTCCAGGGAGGGGTTAAGGAGGTACCCGAGTAACCCTAAGGGACCCTCTCAGTTTCAAGACAAGACCCTCCTGTTTGCTTCTGATGCTTTATAGACCCTTTACTTCCTACTCTCTAGGCTGGAGGTTTGGGACCATCCATGGGCGTGTGGGCCACTTCCCTTCTGAGCTGGTGCAGCCTGCTGCTGCTCCAGACTTCCTCCAGCTGCCAGCTGAGCCAGGCCCTGGCCAGGCTGCTGCTGTAGCTGCTGCTGTGGCCTCTACAGCTGCTGCACGGGAGGTGGGCCGTAGAAGAGAGGTGAGACCTGCTTGGGGAGTGAAGGTGGGAGGGGCAAGGATGGGAGCAAACCTGGCCAGTGGTGTGGCCAGTCCTGGACTAGGATGAACCAGGTAGAGTGAGCCACAAGCATGACCCACAGAATGTGCATAGAGATGGCTGGAAATGTGGCCAAATGGGCTAGGTAAGGGTGAGTGTCAGCTGGCAACCAAGGCAATGGAGCCAGACCAGTAGGCAAAGTCAGCCTGGCATGGAGCAGGGGCTGGCTCAGTAGGCCAGGGTGGACTTGTGGAGTAGATATGGATGGGGAGCTGCCAGGTCAAACTAAATGAGGGGCAAGGTGGCTTGGCACCTGTAACTCAATGGTTAGGGTGCTGGCCATGTACACTGGGGCTGGCAGGTTCTAACCTAGCCTGGGCCTGCTAAACAACAATGACAACTCCAACAAAAAAATAGCCAGTATTGTAGTGGGCACCTGTAGTCCCAGCTACTTGGGAGGCTGAGGCAAAAGAATCATTTAAGCCCAAGAGTTTGAGGTTACTGTGAGCTGTGACGCTACAGCACTCTACCGAGAGTGACATAGTGAGACTCTTGACTCAAAAAAAAAAAGGAGGGGCAAGGGACAGTGGCTGTGACAAGGAGTTGGGGAAGCCAACAAGGGTAAGGACTCACCTGGTGGGCGTGGTGTGTGGGTCAGGAGGTGGAGCCAGACAGGTAGGGAGGCTGTGGACAAGCTGAAGGATGAGGCCAACTGGGTGGAGGTAGGGCCAGGTGGCTGGGTGGTCTAGTGGGCAGCCTGAAAGAGTCAGGGCCCAGTCAGGGAGGGGTTATGCTGAGTTGGCTTTGATTAGAGCTGTGGCATCTCCTGCAGGGTCCCCCAGTAGGAGCCTGCTCTGAGGACGCTCCAGCATTCCCCCCATACACAATGCTGGAGTTTGCCCAGAAGTATTTCCGAGACCCTCAGAGGAGACCCCAGTGAGTGGGGGTCCCATTCCTGCTCCCCACTCTGGGAGGGTTCTTCTGGCCTTCTTGCTGCCTATTTGGTCTGGGAGGTCCCATTCTAGTGGAAGGATAAGAGCCCACCCAGGCGGAAGGCGCATCTTCAGTCTTGGCCCCTGTGGGCCTTCCTTTCTGCTAGACTGACAGGAGTGGTGGGTTAAGAATATGCCTATGTAGGAAAAGGATGTAGCCAAAGGTTCAAAGGCAAGATGGGTCAGTAGCACCTACCTCCTTTTGCAGGGATGGCCTCAGGCTGAAATCCAAAGAGGGTCGAGAATCCAGAACCTTGGAGGACATGCTTTGTTTCACTAAGGTGTCCAGTGGGCCTCAGTTTTCCCTGGGTAAAATGGTGATGCACAGGTCCCCTTCCAGACCCCTGGGGCCATCAGGCTTGTCTTCAGTGAGACTCTCCAGCTCTCAGCACCTGGGGGCCTGGATTACTCTCAGAGGCATCCTGTCCCCCGTGTCCCCCATCATCATATGCCCTTAAACGTAATGTGACCTGCTTCTTTTCCAACATGCCCCTCCTGCATCATGACACAGCGCCCCTCCTCACAGATCCCACTCCAGGAATCCCTCATCGAGCTCAGCGACTGCAGCCTCAACAAGATGGCCACAGACATGTTCCTAGGTGTGTGGGGAGACAGCAGCCAGGGTCCTGGGCACTGTGCGACCCTGCTTGTCCCTGCCTCTCTGGTCCTCAGATTCTTCCCCTCCCTTGAACTGAGATGTAGGACACCATTAGGAGAATAGAAACTCCCCGCTGCCTGTGGACAAGGCTCCCAGGTGGGCGGGCAGCTGGGGGGTTTGGTGGGCCTAAGTAGGATGGATCTTTCCTGCAGCTGTGATGAGGTTCATGGGGGATGCCCCACAGAAAGGCCAAAGTGAACTGGACGTGCTTTGCACCCTCCTGAAGGTTAGTCCAGCTGACTTTCCCAGATGCTCCCTTTTCTGCTCCAGGACTCTGTTCCCCGCTCTGTCAACCACAGTTACAGGACGCTGGGGTGGGAAGCCTCTCTTGTGGCCCAAAGAAGAGTGCATCCCATTTGTGGGGAGAGGGCTGGGAAAAGGACAGCAGGCCCACCTCCATGTGCCCACCCTGTTCTTCACCTGCTATGTGCCATGGCCCCGACATGTCTAGCATGTGATCTGCCTGCCCTCCCTCAGCTGTGTGAGGACCACGAGGTCATGCGTGATGAGTGTTACTGCCAAATTGTGAAGCAGATCACAGACAACACCAGCTCTAAGCAGTGAGTGAACTGGGCCCTCCCCTCCCTCCCCTCTGTGTCTATGCCCCAGAAGAGGCCAGTTCCCTCCTGGAGTCTCTTCCTTTCAGCTCCTTCCTCACTTCATAGACAGAGCACATGTTTTTGGAATTGCATGGTCTGGGACATACCATTTCTGCTCTTTGACCTTGTTTCCTCATCTTTAAAATGGCAATGATAATATGTAAGTCCACATTCTTGGTTGTAAGCTCGTTTAGCCAGAGAGAATTTACTGGTTCATATAACTGAGAAGTCAGTGAGTTTATGGCTTCAGGCATAGCTTCAGGCTTAGCTAGAAGCAGGCCTTCTCCATCTCCTGGTTTGCTTTCCTATGTGTTGATATCATTCTCAAGCAGCCTCCTCACAGACTGGCAAGGTGGCAGCTCTGGGCAGCTCAGCAATCCTAGGGAAAGCAAGATTCTTCAATATTTGCCATGGAAATTCCCAAATCCAGGCTTATTGGCCTGAGTTGGTCACATGCTCAACCCTGAACCAACCACAGTGAATAGAGAATGCAGAGTGCTGATTGGTTAGACCAATGTGTGTGTGTGTGTGTGTGTGTCCCCAAATTAATCACCATAACCGGAGGAAGGCTGAACCCTAATTGGCCAGTCCTGGATCATATGCCCATCCCTAAGCCAATCACTGTGGGTTGGGGGCTGTAGTGTTCTAATTGGCCAGACCTGATCCTCATGTCTTCCAAACTACAGGGATCCAGAGATGGGTGGGTGGTTTCCCAATGGAAGCTCAAATGCTGTCCCCAGGAACCCACTACAGTGCAAAGATGAATTACTGTGTTTCGCTCCTATAGGGCCAATACATAGTAGGTGCCTGATGTGTGTGATGTTCTGGTTACCGTGGGGCTGACCATCCTGTCCCTACCTCCTCATCCTCCTCATTTGTTCTCCATTTACCCGGGATTTAGAGCCACTCAATATGTCCTCCTGCTCCTGTCAGTGCCAGGCCTTACCTGCCACACTTTCTGCACATGCCCAGCAGGTTCTCCTTTGTCCGAAACCTCCCAGGCAGATCCCCTACCTGGGGAAGATCCAGGGCTTCATCCTTTCCTTCCCTAGCTCCCACCTGGCTTTCCAGTCAGAACAGAGCTTTTTCATAGCTTTGGGGCTCACCTGCCCTGCTCTCATTGGGCAAGCAGGAGCATCCGCTGAGACAGAGCTGCCTGGAAGCCAGGAACCTCAAGTCCCAGGAGACTCCTGGCACACACACTGGTGCTGTAGCCACCTGTGATGCGGCCTCCATGTACATCCTTGCAGGGACAGCTGCCAGCGAGGCTGGAGGCTGCTGTACATTGTGACTGCCTACCACAGCTGCTCTGAGGTCCTCCATCCACACCTCACTCGCTTTCTCCAGGATGTGAGCCGGACCCCAGGCCTATCCTTCCATGGTAAGGGGACAGTGAGTGGGGACCTAGGACTATACACCTGTAACATGGGGACTGGGTTGGTAGCAGGCAAGAGGGGAAACCCAGAGATTCTGGTCACAGATGCTGGGCAATGTTTACTAGTATTAATTTACACCCTACACATTTGTGGAGGCCCCACAGAGGCTAGCACAATAGATTGTCTGATCTGATGTTGGGGTGGTCAGGGAAAGCTTCCTAGAGGAGGTATTATCCTGAGGGGGAAGGATTTCCAGGTAGACTAAGTGGAAGGAACAGAGACCAGAGGTGGGCATGTGTGGCACGTGACAGAGAGGAGGAGGAGGGCCAGAACCTGGAGTGGAATGAAGTCTGTTTCTCTGGCTATTTGGGCTCAGAAGGGGTCTCAAGTGGATCTGGGCAGAAGTGGCTCCTACGTCAGTGGCAGAGTCTTGCCCTTTTCCCCTTATAGTGTGGAAAAAGAGGCCTCTGAAGCCTTATCTCCATAGCAACTTCTGGGACCCCCTAAGAAAGAACCTGGAGCCCACTGTAATCCCTTTGGCAGCCCCAGAGATGGAGGACCTCACCCTCCCTGCCTCTAAAAGTATTTGCTCTGATTCCATTAACAAACATTCCCAGATCTAGAGATTAATAGACCCAGCTCTCTGGGGAAGGACTCCCAGGTGCCTGAAGGCCTCAGAATGTGCCCTAGAACTTTTGATCCCCTCCCCGGGGTAGGGTGAGGGCATTGCTTAACCCAAAGAAATGAGCACTGATGCTGGGGTCTTCTGCTCTGGGAGGCCTGGGTGTGAGGGAGGGTGGTAGACAAGCAGTCCCACCTGGCGGGGGCAAAGCTATATCACTATAACTAGAGCCTATTGGGGATGAGTTCCCCAATCAACACCTCAGGGGGACAGCTATTTCCAGGCTCACAGGTAGCCAAGGGGGCTGTAGGCTAGACAAAAGGCCTTTATTAACATGGAATGTAAGTTCAAAACCAGCTCTTAAACTTCAACTTTTGACTTTAAACAAGTCACTGCCCTTCTCTAAACTCAGTTTCCTCAACTATCCACTGGGGGAAGTAAGTGCCTGCCCCCAGGTTATGGAGAGAATTTAGTGGACTCATGCCTGGTAGCAAGAGGAGCCCCTTTCTCACACTGCTTCCCTTGGGCAAGGCCTTGACTCCCTGCCTCTGCAGGGATTGCTAAAGCCTGTGAGCAGAACTTGCAGAAAACCTTGTGCTTCGGGGGCCGTCTGGAGCTCCCTAGCAGCATGGAGCTTCGGGCCATGTTGGTGAGTGTGGGTAAGGGTGGAAAGTCAGAATGAATGGAAGACACAGCCTCGCCCAGAGACCCTGCTGTTGGGCACACATGCACTGCTTAGGGACATGCAGACAGGCCCTGTGAAGTCCAGAGGCATGAGTGGGCCTGCACATGCATGCCTGGGACCCCTTGGCTTAGGGCCTCCTGTGGCAGGGGATAGGGCTGTCCCATATCCCAGACTCAACCGCTTGTCCCTCTCTACCTACACATTCCCAGGCGGGCCGCAGTTCTAAGAGGCAGCTTTTTCTTCTTCCTGGAGGCCTTGAACGCCATCTCAAAATCAAAACATGCAGTGTAAGTGAGGAGTGTTTCCATTAGGCAGGTGCTGGGTAGGCAGAGACACCCTGGTCTCTAGGTCGTGTGTGGGTAGGGTGGGTAAGCCAATTCTGAGATTGCTCGGTGGATCCTATGAAGAGAGCTGAGGAATTTTGCACTCGGCCTCCTGGGCCTAGGTGGGGTTGGGAGGACAGCGGTCAGGCCCAGTTGGCCTAGGCTCACCCTCCTCCCAGGTGGCCCTGGATGTGGTGCAGGAGATCTGTGCTGAGATGGCTCTGACTCAGCCCGAGGCCTTTGATGAGTATGTTATCTTCGTTGTCACCAACCGAGGTGAGTGGCCAGGAGGACCAAGCACACTGGGCTCATTCCCACCTCGGTGCCTTTGGCCATAGGGGCCTCCAGCCAGACTTTAGAGCCCAGATCAGGTGCCACTTTCACAGGAAGCCCCCAGCCGCCACATGGAAGGACCTCTGTGTTTTGAATGCCCCCAGCCCTTCATCTGTCTTTCTTGGTTTTGTTTTGCATAAGCCTTGCCTTCCAGACTGGGAGCTTGTGGTGGACCAGATCCTCTCTTGCTTCCTCCTATTGCCCCTCAGGCCCTGCTCAGTGGGAGGATGTGGGCCCTGCCCTCAAGGACCTTATATCATGGGAAGATTTTCACTAATACACATGCCCTCTTGCTGCTCATGCCGGAGGCGATGAGAGCCCTTTCTAGGTCTCTCTAGGCCCTTCTCTGGAGGGTTCCTGGGACTTAAAGCCCTTCCATCTGCTGCCTGCCTACTCTAGACCATGGGCTTGTTTCCTGCCACCAGCTGGTGAGCTCCAGCTACCTCCAGCCAGCACTTCCCACCTCTGCCTCAGCCCTCAACTGTGGGTCCTCAACCCTGCCTGCCCAAGTCCAGCTAAGGTGTTGGGGGAGGGGAATGACAGTAACAAAACAGTCCTAATAACTGGCGTTTCTTGAACAGATACTGTGTCAAAGGCAAGGTTCAAATCATTTAATTCCATAAACCCTTCTAATTACCACAACCCTGTGAAGTGGAGTCTCCTACCATCCACCGTTAAAGACAGAGAACCCGAGCCCCAGGAAGACTGCTGGTTTCCTACGGCAGCTATAACATATTACCACAAACTTAGTGGCTTTAGACAACACAAATTTTATTATGTTACAACTCTGGAAGTCAGAATCCTAAAGTGAGATGTCTTCAGGGCTGTGTTCCTTCTCCTTAGGGAGAATCTGTTTTCTTGCCTTTTCCAGTTTCTAGATGTTGTCCCCATTCCTCAGCTCATGGTCCCTTCTTTCCTCTCCAAAGCCAGCAACAGACTCTTCAACTCTCTCTCTCCTCCGACCTCTGCTTCCAGCCTCACATCCCCTTCTCTGACTCTGATCTTCCTGCTTCCCTCTCGTAAGGACCCTTGTGCTTACACTAGGTGCACCTGGATAATCCTTAACTTAATCGTATCTGCAAAGTGCCTTTTGCCATGAAAGTAACATATTCACAAGTTCTGGGGCTTAGGACCTGGCTATCTTTGGAGGTGCAGTTATTCAGCCTACCATAGAAGTTAAGTGACATAGTCATACATGGTAGGGGTTTGAACCCAGGAAGTCTGGGCTCAGGAGTCTATATGCTTGTCACCAGTCCAAATCTCCCTCTTTGGTAAGATTTTACTGTGGGTGTGGGATAGGTGCCAGAATTGTCAGTGCACGAGGGAAGAGCTTGAGCCTCCTTCTGGGTTCAGACCCCAGTCCTCCCCACCCACACCAGCCACCCAACGAGAGGTCTCTCCTGCAGGAGGTCTGCAGAAAGGCACCCATTGGGCCTCATAATCAGATGCCTGTTGTGGTTCTCCTTGTATCCTGCCTTCTCTGGAAATGGGCTGGGCCTTTTCAGAGCACCCAGGGTGCTTTCCCAGATCTTGGGGGACAGGCTACTCTCTTTAGCATCCCACCCCCCTCACTGGGGGAAAATGGAACATTACTTGTAGCTTTGAATTGGAGTTATTCCCATGTGTGGTCATCAATATTTCAGTAAAACACAGGGTATCCTATTCCCTTTTAATATGCTGTCCTTTAAAAAAGAAGCTGTGTCCCAGATAAGAGAGGTGGCCTTACCCTGGGTGGCAGGCAAGGGTCTGCACACATGCTTTGTATAGGAGCAGTGCATGCCTTATCTAGCTTTGCCTCCCTCCTCTCTGTAGGCCAGCATGTGTGCCCGCTTAGCCGCCGTGCCTACATCCTTGATGTGGCCTCAGAGATGGAGCAGGTGGATGGTGGCTACATGCTCTGGTTCCGGCGTGTGCTCTGGGATCAGCCACTCAAGTTTGAGAATGAGCTGTATGTTACCATGCACTACAACCAGGTCAGTACAGATGGTGCCTTCTATGCGTCTCAGGGCCTGTGAGGTCAGACTCCACAACCTTGGCATTTGAGGCCTTCATGAGTCAAGCCCTGTAGGCATTTGCTTAATTTTCATTTTTTTTTAAGAGACAGGGTCTCGCTCTGTCACCCAGCCTGGAGTGCAGTGGTGTGATCTCAGCTTACTGAAGACTTGAACCCCTGATTCAAGGGCTCCTCCTGCCTCTTTTTGAGTAACGAGGCCTACAGGCACACTTCACCATGCCCAGCTAATTTTTTTTTTTTTTTTGAGACAGAGTGTTACTATGTCATCCTTGGTAGAGTGCCGTGGCTTCTCAGCTCACAACAACCTCAAACTCTTGGGCTCAAGCAATTCTCTTGCCTCAGCCTCCCAAGTATGTGGGACTATAGGCATCTGCCACAACATCTGCCTCTTTTTTTGTTGCAGTTGTTTAGCTGGCCTGAGCTGGGTTCGAACCCACCACCCTTAGTGTATGTGGCTGGCACCATAAGCACTGTGCTATGGGCACCAAGCCATGCCCAGCTAATTAAAAAAAAATTTTTTTTAGAGATGAGGTCTTACTATGTTGCCCAGGTTCATCTCAAATTCCTAGCTTCAAGTGATCCTCCCACTTTGGCCTCCCAAATTGCACCCAAAATGCTGGGATGGCATGAGCCATTATACCCTGACATTTAAGAAAAAAAATTTTTTTTTTGTTAGAAATAGAGTCTCACTTTGTTGCCCTTGATATAGTGCTGTGGCATCACAGCTCACAGCAACTTCCAGCTCTTGGGCTTAGGCGTTTCTCTTGCCTCAGCCTCCCAAGTAGCTGGGACCACAGGTGCTCACCCCAATACCAGGCTATATTTTGGTTGCAATTGTCATTGTTGTTTGGCAGGTCCAGGCTGGATTCGAACCTGCCAGCTCTGGTGTATGTGGCTGGTGCCTTAGCTGCCTGAGCCATCAGCGCTGAGCCAAATTTTCTTAATTTAAGAAAAAATTTCACTGTCACCCAGGCTGGAGTGTAGTGGTACAATCATAGCTCACTGCAGCCTCAAACTCCTGGACTAGAATGAAGTGATCCTCCTGCCTCAGTCTCCCATGTAGCTAGGATGACAAAGCCAGGTTTTAAAAAATTTTTTGTAGAGATGGGACCCCACCATGTTGCCCAGGCTGGTCTTGATCTCCTGTCCTCAAGTGATCCTCCTACCTCAGCCTCTCAATCTGCTGGGATTACGAGTGTGAGCCACAACACCTGGGCCCCCATGGGCATTTCTAGCCCTGATGCCTCCACTCATCACAACAATGCCATCATCCTCACTACCTCATTCCTGGGCCTCTGCCCATGCTGTCACTCCGTCTGGACTGTTTCTGCATCTGCTCATCTAAGTCCTCCCCAGTAAGGCTGCTCCCAAACAGCACTCTTCTATAAGTTCCTCTCTGAGTTCCTCCTTCCAATTTCTTCTCCTCTGAACGTTGGCCTGACCCTTGCTCACAGGCCTGAGCAGGGCTTTACTAATACTGTCACTTTTGTCCATGTGTTATCCCCCTTTGAGACTTGCAAGTCCTCTAAGATCATGGAGTTTGCAAATCCTGGGTTCTCCCTCACCACAATACTTGTGGAAGTGCTTTGACAAAAAGGGTGTGTTCTCATGGGACTGGCATCAAAAGCTTCAGCAGTTCCACACACAGAATAAGGTCACTTACCTTTTGTGGACACATGGCCTAGCCAGCCTGGCCTAGTACTGTGCTAATCAGTGTGAGACCTAAGAACTGGCAGAAACTTGATACAAATCTTCCAGTCCCACCTCAGATCAACTGGTTCAGAGTCTCTGGGGACACAGCCCACACTCTGTTTTGGCAAGCCCACCGGTGATGCTGGGGCACATTTGGTGTTGAGAAAGGGGGCCTGATGGACACTTGGGCACGCTGCAGCACTGATGCTATTTCTACCAGCAAGGTCACTGTGGGGATTCTCTCATGGTCTTCAAGGCCACAGCCCTCACAGCTCACCTTCCTGTTCTTTTGTCCTTGTTCCCCAAAGCCCAGGAAAGTAACAGGCCATCCTACCCCAGAAGAGGATGAGGTTAGAATCAGTAGAATTGCATGTCTCTAGGCCCCCTGCAGGTGAATGCTGAGTGTGCACAGGCGTGGCAGGACCTTACCCAACTGTTCCTCACAGGTCCTTCCTGACTACCTGAAGGGCTTCTTCAGCAGTGTGCCGGCCAGCCGGCCCAGCGAGCAGCAGCTACAGCAGGTGTCCAAGCTGGCTGCACTGCAGCACCGCGCCAAGGATCACTTCTACCTGCCCAGTGTGTGAGCATCTGGCCACCTGCCTTAGTTGGAATGGACAGGGAACCTAGCCCTTTCAGTCCACCCCACCTTCCTCAGAGCTAGCCATGCCCAGGCTCCTTTCTTGTATCAGTAAAGCTTTCTGGGAAGGGACTATCCTGGCCTTGGGGTTGAAGTCTTCCAACTAACTGTAAAAACTGGGACCCCCACCTCTGTTTCATGGCAAGTTGCTTCTGGCTAATATTTTTAGCCCAGAGCAAATGTAATGGTAAAAAAGTTTTCGGGGCTCGGCACCTGTGGCTCAAGTGGCTAAGGCGCCAGCCACATACACCTAAGGTGG